GGGTGGGGTGGGGGACTCACTTGATCTCCGCGCTTTCCTTTGGCGCAGTGAAGATGTTTGTTTTCTGGAGCACAGGAAAGTGCTGGCGGAGGCGATCGGGCGGGAAGTAGCGCCCCAGCGGCACAGTCAGCTCCAGATCGTACCCCTCAGCGCTGCGGGAGTGGGGAAGAAAAGCCACACAAATACAGGGAACCCCTCACCTATAATATGCTGCGTCGGCTCTCCCCGGAGGGCGCAAAGTGCCGCACCGACTGCGGCAGCGCCCCGCGATGCGGGCGCAGGCTGCTCTTTTGGGAAAGAACAACCCTGAGTGTTACAGTATAGAAGAACCCTAGGTCTGTATGCATGCTGGTTAGGGAGGCAAAACATCAGAACGCGGGGCAGAGGTCAGTAATGTTCTGGCCGCCTACTTAGGAGTAATGACAGTAACTTTTTGGTGGCTTTCCAGACATTTTGGTCAGTTTCCACTCTAGACGGGTTTTAAACAATAAGCACGAGTTTGCTTTTACATGTAGCCAGGGAACACCTGGCCGTGTCCTGGAGGTGTCCATACTCCCTATAAGACCGAGAGCTCTACATGGATAAGTGAAGGCTGGACGGGAATGGGAAGCCCCGGGCAGGGGTTCTTTTATGGGGTAATATGCTCAGATTCTAAACTGGACTGTGGCGAGGGCTACTCATACCTGAATAGATCAGAAAGACTAAGCTGTACACTTGCAACAGGTAAGTGAGACGGGATTATCTCAGAGCCACGCGGGAGGGACAGCTAAGTAGAAGGGCTGCTTGGTAATCTGTTGCTCTATCTATCAGTGTAAATTAAAGTCACATTGTCCTCATAGCTGCTGCTCGTCTGCAACCTTCTGCCTAGATAGACGGTCTCTGAGGCCGGGAGGCGTGAACTCAAAATCAGGAAAGGTGCGGTGGGCCCGGGTTTGTGATCTCCCCCAGGATTCACACTGTCAGAGGCAGGGGTTTGCGCACAGCTGGCCAGGGGTGGAGGGAGGAGTTACCGGTCAGGTTTCTCTCCTTCTTCTACCCGGCCGGTCACTACTGGGTTTCTAGTGACCCGGGCCCGCTTGAAGGGGGTTGTGGGCTTCAGCTGTGCGGCCAGGGGACTGTAAGTGACAGCAGCCAAGAAGCGAGCAATGTAGAAAGTGCCAGCTTGTTCTGAATCAGTCTTGCCAGGTGCCAACAGCTCCCAAAGCACAGTGGCTGGGAAGTAGCCCACAAAAGTGGTCTCGCAGTGGACAAGGAGCTCGTAGCATTCACCTGGAGGAAGGTGGCAGGCAGCGTGAGTGGGGGAGGGACGCGACACCAGCATCCCTACCCTGGAGATGCCCCCACATGCACCATCCTGAGGCAGCAGCCCACCCCCTGCACCAGCCCTTCTGGGGGGGCAAGCCCTGTCCACCAGCAGCGCCTTCTGGAAGCCCACTCACCAGGGCCCAGCAGGCAGGGCAGTTTCCGGTCTCCATCAGAGAAGACAAATTGGGAAGAGCCACAGAACGGGAACACGTGTGTCAGCGTGACGGGCTGGGTACCCCCGTTCCGGAGGTTCAGGGTCAACACCTCCTTGCAGTTCAAATCCAGGTGAATAAGGACCTGCCCATCTCGATTTTCATGGGGCCCCTGGACCTCCACATCCACCCCATGTTTCCCATGAAGATACTCGGCCCTGCGGAGAGTGGGGAGTTCAGGTGGGGGCCGGGGCAGGAGAGGCCTGACTGGGGGTTGCCCTCTGTAAAGTTTTATGCGGGGAGGCTGGTGAGATGCCAGGAGACAACCCCTCCCCCAACAGTGGGCTCCTTGTCCCCCCCCTCGTAGGAGGGTGCGCTCACATGCTCACACACACACACACACACACACTCACACACACACACCTGTCATAATAGATCTTGGCTAGCAGTGACTTGTGCTGTTTGCTGATATCTGACATTGGCTTCATTTTCCCAGTTTCTGGCAGCTGCTCCTCGGTCCGGTTGAGTCTGAAGAACCTGACCCGAGTCTTGGTGACGAAGGCCAGATTTGCGATCTTCATCCCGTACAGCATGGAGGAGAAGCCAGGGATGGAGGTCCCAAAGCTGCCGGAAGCAGAGGAGACTGGGGAGTGAAGGCAGGCAGGGAGCGTGGGCTCGGGCGGCGTGGGGGCGGTGCGGGGGCTCTGCTGGACACGCCAGCCCTCCCGGAACAGGGCAGAGCCCGGGACAGGCTCGGGCTGGGGACCGTAGGACATTTTTAATGGCTGAAGGCAAGGCGATGGGATTTCCCAAGACTAAATACAATTATTTGAAGCAACAGGTTGTGGATTGTGCACTTTTGAGGAGAAAAGTCTAGTCGTGGGCTGTGACTTGGAAGACTAAGGTTGGAGAAAGAAAGAAGAGATTGGGGGTTGGGGGTGTGTTTGGGACAGGAAAAGATACAACCCAGTGGAAAAACCTAAGGCAAAGGGGAAACCAGCTGGCTGAGAGGAGTGGTTCTGGAGTCCAGCCTGGCGGTGAGAAGGGAGAGGAGGGGACCAGAGAGAGCAGATGTCCAGGGTGTGGGCAAGGTGGCTGAGCAGACAGCATTTCCACCCGAAGTCAAAGGGTGCAGGTGGAACCAGCAGGAAGGGAAAGGATCCTTCTCCAGAGATCAAATAGCTTGGCTTTGTGCCTAGAGAGGTGAAGACAGGGAAAACTGGTCAGAAGGTCAGTTACCTCAAGGGTCAGTGCCTGGCATTCATTTCGTCATCTCAACCAACACTTACAGACCTGTCATGCGCCAGATACCGCACTAGATGCTGGGGCTCAGACAGGCAGGAGCCCTGGCCCGGACCTGGGAAGCACAGACCAAACACAGACCCTCCAGCTCCGCGGCTCAGGGCGGGCACTGAGCCCTGTCGGGGCAGGAAGGGTCCTCAAAGGCGGCCCCAGGAGCTGGGGTCAGAATGGAGTCCCGAGAAGGAAGGGACATCACCAGGCGCAAAGAGGGAGCGTGCAGTGGCCGTGAGCACCACATAAGGTGGACGCCACCGTGAGCCCCTGAGCCCAGTGCTTGGCACATAGGAGATCTCATAAGCTCGCTGGTTAGTATCCTACTAACCATGATTCTAATGATAATTACAATTAGGCTGGTGGCACTTGAGTGAAAGGTGCATGGAAGGAAATGACAGGAGGCAGCAGAGGTGGGCAGGGGCCAGATCACGCACATCTTGCAATGCCAGGCCATGAAGCCAGGATGTCTGTCACCCCGGGGCGAGCGGCCGGCCTTTCCTGGCTCCTGGGAGCCAGTGGATGAGCGGGGGTGACATCGTTCACAGACAGATCCCGCCCTTCTCCCTCCATGCTCAGTAGGGCATGAAAGCAAATCCCAGGCCCTGAGAACCACGGTCATCCCTAGGTAACCAGCAGCACTGCTCCTCACTAGTGCACGATCACTTGGCACCAGGCAATTCCCTGGGGCCCTCTGCCTGCAACTCTGCCCCTCTCCTTCATCCCAAGCAAATGAGTGACATTATCTAAGCACTCTGATAAGTCATATGAAAACATAACAGAAAAGGCGCAGTAAATGTTAGCTACTATTATTAGTATCCACACTGGTAGCAATAGTAGTATTGAAGTAGCAGGACTAGGAGCAGGAAGACCAACTTACTTTCATCTGAGGCTACCATGTGGTCACAGAACCACTGCTGTGCGGTGGGTTTTAAGCAGGGGGAGTGGCAAGACCACATTTGCATTTCAGATCACTTTGGCATCAACATTGGAGCATGGGTTTGCTGGAGGCAAGACTGTGGGCAGGGAGAGCAGTTAGAAGAAGGTCATGCCAAGAGTCCAGCTCAGAGGCCACGGCCTGAAGGAGGCAGTGGAAAGGGCAGGAGGAGAGGGAACAGATGGGATCCCATTGAGGGTAAAATTAGCAGAATTTGGTGATGGACAGGAGGGGGGTTGGAGAGTGGGGAAGTGGGAGGAGCCTAGGACAAAACCCAAATCAATGGCTGGACTTCTAGGCTTTTCTGAGAGAGGAGGTAAAGACTGGAGGAGGTCGGAGGGACTGTCCATGACATTTAACTCTGGACATGATGGGCGGGAGGCCCCAGGCAGCTAGCCTCATGAGTCACAAGCTGAGAACGCAGGCCAAGTCAGGTAAGAGGGTAACATTCGAGAACCCTCAGGTAGGTAGTGCAGAGAGAAATGTCTGGGATCTCTGCAGGGGGTGTGCATATCTGTGAGCATCGGGGCCAGGGTAACCCAGAGAGGGTGGGAAAACAGACGGAAGCCCAGAGAGGGGCGAGCCAGGAGGAAGACTCAAAATCAGGTATCAGGCTCAAAAGCTGCGGAGAGGTCCAGCCAGTAGGCACTGACACCCTTGGTCAATGTGTCGGTCACTGAGTCGAGGCACAAACCAACCCAAAAGGCAACAGGAGTCAAATCAGAAGCTGGCAGGCGCCAGCTGCTAGGACACCCCACAGCCCGTGGGGACACTGTGTAGTCACCACGCTGAGGCAGGGGTGTGAGGGGTGCACACCCCCATGGCTCTTGGGAGAAGAGTGCAGATGCCGTGAAAAGTGGGCCTGGGCTCTTGGCAGGTGGAACAATCTGAGAGCCTGCACCCCGTCATGCCAGACAGATGCCGGCAGTGAGGAACAGAGGCCCGAGATATCCAGGTATTCTGGCTCCTAAGAGATTCCGCAATCCAAATTTTAAGGCAAAGTCTCCAGTTTTTGGAAATGTCTGTGTGGGCCACAGCAGGCAGAACTCGGCTTTGCTTGTTTTGTGACTTGGCCCATCGAAGCATTTCTCAGACAATTCCCCATGTTTGCTACGGTGACCCAAGTCCAGCTCTCCCCGGTCTAAGGTGACAGCTGCTTAAAAGTTTTTTTAAATCATAAACTCAATACTACTTGAAAAAGTCTTTTGTATCGTGCATCTGCATGAGGAAGTGTGAGGCTAGGCACAGGCCCCGGCAGGGTCAGGCTGCCCCAGCTTGGTGAGAAACTGGGTGTTCAGAAAACAAACACAGCCCTGGAGCCAAGTTTGTTCTGAGAAAACAATACAAAGAGCCGAAAAGGAGACACAGCAGGCCTCCCAACCACAGGGGCCAGGGGCCCAGGCACCCCAGTGCCAGCTCATACAAACTCGCTCCTTTTCCTCAGGCTCCCCACCCCTCAGTCCAGAGGGCTCCTGTCCTTGTCTGACAGTAAATCTCTGTCTTTTCTGCCTAACTCTGGCTGGCTTGATGTTGAATTCTTTCCTTGCTGAGACAAGGACCAAGAGCCCTTTGGGGTCCTGCTCCTGGACCCCAAGCCCGATCCACATGCAATCACCTAAGTATTTAGAGGAAAAAGATGAACAATGTAGGGTCCTCCCCGGTGACGCAAAGGGTTAAAACCCAGCACTAGCCCCTGACCTGTCCTGTCTCTCCCTCTGCACCCCTCAGCAGTGTATTTCAGTGGGTCTCTGTTCCCCACTCTGTCTCATCAACCCACCCCCAATATCCCAGCATCTCTGGCCTGTACTCCAGTTCTTGTATGCATAAATAAATAAATAAATCTTAAAAAAAAAAAAGACAAACCATCTCATAGTAAAATGTAATAGTCAACTCAAATGTAACATTCAAATCCAGAGGACCAAAAAAAGTATGAAAAGATGCTCCCAAAGCAGAGAAATGCAATTACAAATGAGGTATTTTATTTGTTACTCTGATTCAAAATAGAAATTGTTACTACACTGATGGCTGCTATGGGTAAGTAGAAAAGTGATCTCTTCTACATGGCTGGTGGGAAGGACGACTATTATGACTGTTGGAAAACGACCTGGCAACC